GGGGGGGGGGGGTTCCTGTAGATTATGTCTTTGATCTTCACGATGCTTTAGGCTCTTAGTCACGGGTAGAATAACTGGGAACTGAGAGAGCTGGCATCTTACACAAGGAGTGAGTTGTAGAACTGGAGGTTAACCCAGCACATCACACTCCTGTGGGGTCTGGTAACATCACACAGAGCCTCACAAATGCAGATGTTGAGTCACAGGAAGGCTCATCGAGGCAAAAAGTCCAAAGGGGAGGATATGCTTAGATGGAATTTTCGAATGATCATTTGTGACTCAATGGACCTGTCACTTGATGGGAGTCTGTAGACATGTGCTTTCATTGAAAGTTAGGATAGTTCTTGTTTTTAGATGGCCACTTCTCTGAAATACTCAGAGCAATTTAAGCATTTTTAAATCTCCCTCTGAAGATTTTGTTTTCATTACAAAGAAATGGTTTTCTAAGTAACCTAGTCTCTGGACACATTTTTTAAATGATGAAATCAGATAAATACAAATGAAAATTGTGTTGTTATCAAGGTGTGGATCTGAGCTGGAAGAGGTGAGTGTTGCCTGGTCTCGCCGCCTTGGTCCTACAGCTCCCAAGTGGGGTGGGGGCCTGTCACCTTTCCCCTTTCTCTCCCTTCTAGTGTCCTTGGTGTAGCAGCGGTCAGCCCATGTGTCAGCCCAGGTCTGGAAGTCCCCTCTGAGCATCATCCATGCTCTCCTCTTTGTCAAGACAGCATCTGTCCCCCAACCCTCTTTCCTAGTGAGCTGCTGTGTAATGTCCCAGGAGAATAAAACTCCAAGTCCAAAAATCACTAAAGTTGGTGTCCGTTGGGCTGGTTCCTTCTGGTGGCCCTAGAGCAGAATACATTTCCTGGCCTTTTCCAGCCCCGTCTCGAGGCCCTTCATCACTGAAGCCTCTACCTCTGTTATCACGTGTCCTCTGGCTCTGTTGCCGTCTAATGAGGATCCTGTGATCCTTTGGGCTTGCCTAGATAATCCAGGATAACTTCCAAATTCAAAATCCTTCACTTAATATCATCTGCAAAGTCCTTTTTGCCACGTGAGGTAGCAGAGTCATAGGCCCTGGAGATTAAACCTGGCCACCTTTGAGGGAACATTGTTCTCCTGACCATAGTGGGATTCAAAGCTCCCACTATTTCTTTGCTTGTAAATATACACAAGCTAGACTGCCTGGTGACTGAGTTTCTCCTCCTTGTGAAGGTATTGTGAGAGCTGAATACAGTTTACCCTTGAACAACGTGGGTTTGAACTGTGGGGCTCCACTTGTATGTGAATTTTAAAATCTGCCTTGTTCAAGGGTGAACTATATTTGCTACCTGTTGGGGCTCAGAACAGGACCTGGGATGTCATGGGTACCCAGGTGAAGCTGGCCACCCCCTGGAGCGCAGGCTCCCAGGAGGTGGGGTCCAGTGCCCAGAATGCAGGAATTATTTTGGCTCCCTTTCTGAGGGTGAGCTGTAAGGGGAGAGGAGCTGGGGAAAGGGCTATAAAGAGCCCTTTTCATGCTGTAGGAATTAAAAAACAACTTTTTAAAAAATCCTCACTTGAGGATACTCCTCATTGATTTGAGAGAGAGAGAGAGAGAGAGAGAGGGAGACATCAGTTGGTCCATCCCCCCTGCTGGGATCGAACCCGAAACCCAGGCATGTGCCATGGCTGGGAATTGAACCCACAACCCCCTGGTGCACAGGACAATGGTCCAACCAACGGAGCCATCCAGCCAGGGCTGTAGGAATTTTTAAAATTGTACAATTGAGCAATTTTTAGTAAATTTACAGAGTTATGGTGTCATTGTCACCATAATCCATTTTAGAACACTCAAGAAGAGCTAGTGATCTTCAAACAATGGCATGGCATGCCACCAAAAGTACTGTATTTTATATAATCTGTGACATTTGTCATTTGTGGGATGTACCATTATTTTATGTGCATTAAGAAAAAGCAATGCTAATTAACCTATGAAATAATCCTTTCTAACATTGATTGCAGGATACATTCTGATTTCAGAGATGCTAAAATTAGTGGTGGAGGGGAGGATCGTCTCAAATTGATAAAATAGGGCTCTGGAGCTCTCTTAGTTGGCAGCTGATCCCACCCTCCCTCCTTTTCTTTCTTATGTCTGTGTCACAATAAACTTTCACTAGGAGAAACTCATGGTATCAATTATTTTCCATCTCTCTTTTCATACTTGGTCAGGAGCCTACATCCCTCTTTCACACTGTTTTAGTTTTTACTTGACCTATTACATGTGTCCTATGTTGGACCTTAACCATGAACGTGCATGACAGTGCAGTCAGGCCAGATTCCAAGATAGTTGTTGGTGTGAGTGCTGAAGTAATCTCTCCATTTCCTACCCAGTGGATGCAGGTTGGGTGGGTGTGTGTTCTGTGCACATTTACTGTGGCTTCCGTGAACCAGCGTCTGCTAACCTCAGCCTGTGCCCGGCCAGGATGGCCGGGGATTCTGGACCCTCGATTAAAGTTCACATTTTATTTTGAGTCTTCATCTTTGGGTGAATGAGCCTCGGAGTCTGTGTGGAGGGTTGGATGTAGTGGGTGAGGCTCCTCTCTGGCGAGAGGTGCGGACGGTCACCCTGCCAGAACTGGAACTCTGAGTGAGGCCTGCCACCTGCTACCCCAGACCCTCGAAATGGTTAGCAGTCCTGGAGCATTTGTGCTAAACCTGGACACGCACAACAGACACTGTTTTATTAATGCCACGATCTGTGTCAAGCTCTCTGGTTTCCCTGAGCTGTCTCCAAACCCGCAGCTTCATTCATTTAACGCCGTGATTTTCAACCACTGTGCTGCAAGACTTTTTAAAATGTGCAGTACCTGACTATTTCATCAGGGCACTGACCTCTTTTCCCTTAGATTGTCAAATAAAAAACCGAGAACAGTCAACACAGCAGAGTTGTCTGGTGCGACTGAATCAAAATTATACCTTTTTTTCACATCGGCAAAAAATGTATTTTTTGGTGTGCCACAGAATTTAGTAATTAGCTTACGTGTGCCATGAGATGAGAGAGTTGAAAATCGCTGATTTAACGCGACATGCCTTTGGGGCTGGGGGCACGTCTGTGAAGATTTTTACAGCCTGCTTACCCTTGAGTCCATATTTACCACGATTAGGAAGCTGCAACTTCATGTCTTACAAGTGAAACCCAGAACGGCATGTTTGTGGCGTGTAAAAATGGGGCTGCCCGTGTGTGCCTGAGGTCGGTGCTTAGGCTGCGGCCCCACCACGATGCCCACGCCACGAGCAGTGACGAGGCCATTACCTCACAGAACCTAACGGCCCTCATTCTGTTCCTTTGTCCAGCCCCTTCTATGGAGAAGACTTCTACTGTGAGATTCCTCGGAGTTTTCGTCACCTGTCATTTTACATCTTCGATAGAGACGTTTTCCGGAGGGATTCAATCATAGGTAGGTACTGACAGATGTTTTGTTTTTTATCTCCGCCTCTCTGGACGGGGTCTCATTCTGGCAGAAGTGGAGTGTCTCCTCCAGGCATCCTGCCTGAGAGCAGAGGCAAAGCAGCACCTTTAGCCTGGTCTGCTTGGCTGTGCTGAGCAGTGACAGGAAGTGGCCCTGGGCAGCCAGCTGGCCTGGCTGTGGCATCCCCCAGGGCCTGGTCAGGCCGTCTGAGTCCCGCCCTGGCAGCGTGTGGAGGGGCTTCACAGCATAAGGTCACGTGGGCATTGAAGTGCTCTCTGAGGTATTGGGGTACTCTAAGTATTGGGAGATGTTCTCAGAGGTATTGGGGTATGCTCGAAGACACTGGGGTGCTCTCAGGGACACTGGGGCTCTCTAATGTATTGGGGTGCTCTCAGAGGTATTGGAGTGCTCTCAGGGACATGGGCTCTAAGAGGTATTGGGGTGCTCTTAGAAGCACTAGCATTTCAGGGGGGGACTCCTGGAGAGAATGAGGCCCAACCTGAAGGTGGAGGACAGGTGCAGATTAGGAAAGAAGCTTCCTGAGTTCAGGAGTGCACCTGTGCCCCTATTCATGTTTACTGTGGCCCCAAAATAGAACAGAGAAGCCAAACATGGGCACAGTTGTAGTTGCTGGAATCCAAGCACCATGTAGTGTCCGTGCTGTGGCCTTGGCCTTTCCTGGGAGGGGAGGCTCTCAGGTAGAGCACTTGGAATCTGAAGTGCACTTGAGTCACACAGACTGTTCATTGTCTTTCCTCTCGGTCATGCTTGGGGTTCTGACCAGCTCCCACTCACTGCCCAGACCACTTGAGCAGGTCGCCCATGTAGCCAGTAGGGATGTTTCCGTCCAGGCAGCAGCAGATGCCCAACAGCACTCAGGACAGTTGGCTGCCTCCCCTGCAGCTCTTCCTCAGCCTCCCAGCCTCACCCCCTCCGGCTCTTACTCCCAGGCTTCCGGCAGTTTCTCCACTGCCTCCTTAGATCTCAGCCTGTAGGTCCAGCTTCCCTGCAGGACCCCTGTGGTTGTCTCCAGGCATCTCAGATGCATCCTGCTGAACTCATGGTGGCCACCAAAAGTCCCTCATTGCCGGGTAAACCCCATACCTGCTGCTTCCTCACCCTCCTAGATGCCCTGCCAAGACTTGGAACTTAGTTCCTGCAGGGTGCAGCCACGTCACCCTACACCGAACCTTCACTTGCTTGGACTGTAGCCTGCATGGTCTCAGAGCTTGCCCCTTGTGCCCTTCCCTTCACTCCATGGCTACAGGAGTGGCCTTTTCTACGTGTGAGCTATAACCATCTCCCCCTATTTATTCCTGACTACTGGCATCCCATTGCACTTACGAAAAACATGGTTAGGGCCCAGAAATTACTCCATCGTGTCTGTCCCCAACATCTGGCTTTGACTTAGGAGGCAGTCACTAAACATTTGTTGAAAGAGTAGATGATTTGGCCTGGAGAAGGAAGTCCATACTCCCTAGCATGCATTCAAGACCTTTCATAATCTGACCAAATTGTTCTCTGGGCTTCTCAATGGCTTTTCTAGCTGTCTCAACATAAACACACTCATGTGTGGAACCCACCTGTGCACCTGTGCAGGCCTCCACCTACACAGTCTACCTGTCACACCCTCTTAATACTAGAAGCCTTTTTAATATGTCTGTTTTCTGAAATCTGACTAGTCCCACAGTGACAAGCTCACATGCTATCTATCCTCAAGCAGCATGCTCCTCCTTTGCTACTAGGGAGCATGTTAAAATCCAGGTATCTGGACCCCCACCCATGCTGGTGGACCTAAATGTTCTAGGGGCTGAACCCGGAGTTCCACATCTTTATTAAGTTCCTCAGGGTGGCATTTTCAGTTAGAAGGAAACTAACATGTATTGAATGCTTATATATACCAGGCACTGTGCTCGGTGTCTTAATGGGCATAAAAGCATGCCATTAATCCTTTGTATTAACCCCAGGAAGTAGGTATCACCTCCATTTGCTATATTAAGAAGAAACTGAGGCTCAGAGAAGACACTTGCCCAAAGATGCACAACTGACAGGTGGTGAGCTAGCAAGTCAGGCATTTCCTGTCATATTTGTAGAGAAGTGAGTACCAGTGACTTGGGAGGAGAAAGGTGTGTCTACACCTGCAGTAATCATCCCATGAAGTCATCTCCCTCCCTAAAGACTCTTCAATGGGTTCTGCCCATCATCTCCAGAACTTGCTCTCACTCTGAATCTCATTTTCATCCTGCCTAATGTGCGACAGGTGGTTTCACAGAATTTCTGTCTAAACCTTTCATATTTTAATCAAGCACTTAGATACCATTTAGATTTATGCTTTCTCTGGGACTTTGTGTGAAACATTCCTAAACCTAAGTGATTCAGAATGACTAGAGGGGTGAAGAGCAGTAGTCACTTTTTCTACCAGCATCACCAGATCCATGGTGTCTACAGCAGGAATGGGGGGCTGGAGAACATGGCAAATGCATCCCGCTGCTCTCTCTCCAGTTGTTCCATGGTGGGCAGAGAGGGGATGAGCCCTAGAACCCCCTCCT